TGTGATAAATGTAATACAACAGTTGGTTGTAAAAATTGGGCTGCTCATTTGAAATCTATTCATCATCAAAAAAATGATATAGATCAAACAATTGTACCTTATAGATTTAATAAAACATACAAAGGTATAACAATTAATCAAAATAGACTAAGAAAATTTAATTTTTTGAAGTTGATGCAACATGAAATAAAAAAAAGTATAAAAAAAAATAAATGTTATGTGAATATTTGTTCTTTAGAATATTATGAAAATTCTGAGAACTCGAGTCCTCACACGGTACACAAGTGATATAATTGAGTGTTCAAATTTTTGTGAGTCCCCGAGTTCCCTCATAAAATTTTTATTTATTTTTGAGAAAATATAACCATCTGATGAAAAATTATTATTTTAATCTCCTTTGATCATATGATTATTGTTTTATCTAATTAATATAATATAAATTAATTTGGAGTTAAATCTAATAATTATTATCATTGATTATGGAGCAGATATGAATATGATATAAGTTTGTATATTTATTGTTAATTTAGTAAATTTGATTCTAAATATTTGATCTTCATTTTATTATAACTCTACACAAAATATAACGGACTTAGATAATATTTCAGAAGCTTTAGACGAGTCTTTTGAATATGATTCTGGCAGTGATTATAAACCTACTAGTTCTGACCAAAGTTCAGACAGTTCAGATTCTGATATTCTTAGTGTAAATGATACTTCCCAAAGTAGTTTTTCTAATACCACTACTGAAAATTCTCAACAGTGGAATAATGTTACTAGTATGTATATGATATAAATTATAAATATTATACTTAGGTATAAGATATTTAGTTATAATTTTTATCTCAGCATTCAATCAAAGTCATTTTGTATTTGAGGAAAACAGATCTTTGTTATGTGACTTAGGACCAGATTGCCTATAGATGTTTATAATTTATTTCTTAATGATGATATATTGGATACTATTGTTGTTGAAACAAATAGACAGGCATTAAGGTATAAAAATATATGGACAAATACTAATTCTATGGAAGTGAAACAATTTTTAGGAATTGTTATGTATACAGGACTTGTATCCTATCCTAAAATATCAGACTATTGGAGTAGGCAAAAATTTTTTTCATAAAACTTTCATCTCTAAAATTATGCCCAGAAATAGATTTCAAGAGTTGCTGAGATTTTTTTCATGTAGCTGATAATGATTCAATAATTGAAGGTGATAGATTGGGTAAAATTTAACCTCTGGTTTGTAAATTAGTTAGTATTTTTAAAAAATTTAAGGTACCTGGAGAAAAAATTGTGATTGATGAAACCATGATTCTATTTAGAGGCAGACTAATATTTAAACAGTACATACCAAATAAAACTTCTAAATATGGTGTTAAATTATTTAAAATATGTGATAACATAGGTTACACATATGATTGTATTATTTATAGTGGTAAAAATACAACCACAACATGTTCTGAAATAACTACTGCTAGTAAAGTAGTTTTACAACTTATGAATGATTATCTATATAAATGAAGGACATTAATTATTGACAATTATTATACTAGTTTAAATCTTGCCCATATATTACTAAGTAAAGATACTCATATGGTTGGTACCTTAAGAAAAAATGCAAAAGGATTTCCAAAAGATATAACAAATGCAAAAATTAAAAAAGGTGAAATTAAAGGTAAAGAAGATGATAAAGGTGTAGTGGTGAGCATTTGGAAAGATAAAAGGGATGTTAGAATGGTGTCAACTAAACATGGTATAGAAATGATTAGTACTGGAAAGACAAGTGTTGTAATAAAAAAGCCAGAGGCTATAATTTTTTATAATAAGAACAAACAAGGGATTGATGTGTCAGATCAAATGACGAGTTATTTTACATCTCTTAGAAAAACCATTAGATGGTACTACAAAGTGGCATTTCAACTTTTATTGGGTACAGCTGTGGTAAATTCATTATTAATTTATAAAGAATTAACTGGAAATAAAATTCAGATCTCAAATTTTAGACAACAAATTATAGAAGAGTTAGTCAAATCACAAGATTTTAATTTAGTTTCACCATCTTCTAGAAAACATAAATTAATTGAAACAGATGAAAAATTAGGACAAGGCAATAAAAATAAAAGGCGTAGGTGTGTCAAGTGCTATGAAAAACTGGTCAGTGAAAAAGGAAGAGCAGTTGCACAAAAAACTTGTAAAACTACCACATTATATTTCAATTCTTGTGAAAAAAATCCAGCCTTTTGTTTAGAATGTTTCCAAGCTTCTCATAAGTAATTCATTTTAATGTTTTGATTTGTATATTTTATATACTTAATATTCTATTTGTCATTTTCAGTTTATTACATTTTTTTAAAAAAATAACAGGATGTTCATAATTATTAAAGAATTTAATATTTTATTTTTGTTTATTTTATCTTTTAGATTTATTGTAAAATGTTTAATGATTTTGTTGTATTTTTTAAATTGTTAATTTTGCTGTTCAATTATATTTTAACATTTACAAAAGTATGAATTATATATAAATTATACACAATTGAGATATTTAAAAAAATAATTTAGTATCTTGATTTTTGAGAGAGCTCCAATAGAGGTTAAAAACATGTATTATTAGATAATTATATACTTTTGGTACAAATATAAACAAATAGATGGCGCTAATGATGAATAAAATAAAAAATTTATTGAGATAACCCGAGTATACTCATGGTATAGAATGAATGATTCAGTGAGAGAACTTGAGTACTCTTATGGTACTGTAGGACAATTTTTAAAAATAATGCTTGGTAGTCAACGTGGTTATAATAATAATAATATAATAATATATTGAATATATTTATGCAAAATAAATTCTTTGAAATGTCATATCGACGCCTCAGTTCAATACTGCAACAACTCGAAATATTGCTAAAGCGAACTGATACATTTTTGGATTCATCTTTTAACATGCTTTTCAAATCAATAACGCAATAAAATATCAAAAAATTATTCCGTCCGTGAAGTCACTTGATTCGTTATGGAATTATTGTAATTTCCCTTTTATAACAGTTCAAAACTGTACCAAATAAACTTAGTTCAATATTGAACTGATACTATAACTTATAAATAGAAATAAGTTGAGTTGTTACAGTATTGAATTATATTTATAATTATTTTAATTGCATCATGTTGACTTGTTGCAGTGTTTCACTATTAAGTATTAACCTTAAATAATATTGGGGATTATTCTATTTTTAAATGCTTTACTATGAATATTGGTGGCGACCAGCACGATTTACGATTATAATAATAATTTATAATATTATTATCTTTTTAAATCGTGGAAACTTGCAATAACCAATAATGACAATATTATTATTATGCTATACGAAATTCAATGATAAAAATTGAAGACAAATGATTTCGGACGACCATTCTACTATACTAGTTGTACCGCAGACCTCACCTCTTCCCAGTTCACGTCGTTTTTATATTTTTATAGTTAACGTTGTCGTAGATACTGTGCTATACTGTTATTAAATATTAAAACATTGTTTCAAACACCACAATGCACCATTTATCAAAAGTGCAAAGTAAAAGAGCTAAATACATAGCTGATGATTTTTCACAGTCAAAACAAAATGTTTATGTTGATACAAAAGAAGTAAGTTCTTATATTTATAATGTTTTTTGTAATTTATAATTTGCAATGAACAAATATGTTACTATCATAATAATACTACTTTGATTTTTTTTAATTAGGCTGTACCATTAAAAATTAATGATAATTGTGATTCAAGAAAAGCATACAACAACATACCACACTTAAATTTAAATCATAATAATATTAATAACGTACAAGAAAAAGATCATCTAGTAAAAGAGTGGTTGAAAACTTTAAAGCCAAGTAGTACAATAAGTTCAACAAGTTTACAAGAGAAAAGCTCAGATGATTTGGCTGATTATAGTACAGGTATATTTTAATAAATCGTTCAATATTTATACTTGTCCAAGCCAACGAATAAAATATTATTATTATTATATTACCTCGTACCACCACTCCTCCACCGACCGAATCACACACACGCACAGTCACATATTATTATGATCTTCGTTATTTTTGTATAAATTATCTTGTCTTGTGAATTATTATATAATATGTAGATTAGCCGCCGCCGTCTAGCTGGAATGAGAGCAATTAACACGGCCGGCTATCCCACCAGTCCGCTCTGCACTGCCTACGCGGAATGTGAGCAACAATTACGTGCGCAAATCGCCGTTGTTTGTTAAATTATCATTATAGTTTTTCTCTCGTGGCGCAAATCGCCGTTGTTTGTTAAATTATTATATTATCATAGGCGCGAATCGCCGTATAGTTATTTATATTGTATTATTGTGTTCATAGGCGTGCGCACGGGTGTTGCAGGGTATGCTATAGCAACACCTGCGGGCTGCAAACACTCACAATTTTTATTTTTCTAACCAACAATAGTTAATACTGTTAGTAGTTAAAATTTACAAAATAAGAAACATTACAAATTAAATTTATTAATATATTATTTTGAAATATTTTACAATAAGTTTATTCTTGTAGTGTAGCCACACTGATATATTGTATTGTTGATAATAACATGACCGCTTAATATTTGTCGTGATAATGATAAATTTCTAATCTAATGTCATTTAAATAACAATTGTGGTAATTTGTAAATTTTTATTATTTAAGTTTATACACTATACAGAATGCATAAAAGAAATAACCAATCGACTTTGTTCGATTTTTTAAAAACAAAAAACAAGAATCATGATTCTATTGTGGAAAGCGGTAAGTATATTTTTCATTATGTTTTTATTTATTAAGAAAAAAACTCGAGTAGGTATCATATTAGATATCTAATATCTATACTTATTCAATATTGTTTTATAATATACTCCATCAACATAGGCCTTACTGCCTTAGTGCCAACTGCTTCAACTGCAATAGAGGTGGATTCATTACCAGTATGTCCCATCCATCCAGTTCTAATCACACCAACAGAAGTAGAATTTACTGGTATAAATAATTAAATTATTATTTATTAACTTATAATAAATAGTGCGCTATAGTTAATATTTAAATTATTTTAGAACTTCAAGATACTTCAAGTGATCAATTAGGTATGCATATCAATATATCATCAATAATTTTTAATATTTTAACATTTGTATGTTTGTGTTTTATGTAGGATATTGTGTACATTGTGTATTTGTGTTTATATTTTGTATATTTTATCTATATTCTATGTGGGTAAGTGAATTTTGTTTTACGTTTATTAGTTATTTGTTGTCCACTACAGTGGCTGTATATATGTGTGTAGTTTTGGGTATATTGGCTTTTATTTGTATTGATGTGATTGCTGTGCTGTTTAATTTTGTTTGTAGTACTACTTTAGTACCTAATTATATTTGTAGACTTTAATGGTAAATTAATTTTACACTAACTATTTTTTTTACAATATTTTATAAATGTATTTTATTTTTTAATTATAATAAGTTTTTGTCAAAATTATAAATGAACTTGAACAAAAACATTTTGCAGATATACAATTGAGATGTCACCCTAACGATCCTTCTCTGCCCCTTCCAAAAAACCGCCATGAGCTTAAAGCAAGAATTTTGCAGGGTCCTTACCAACCAATCTTGAGTTTATATCCAAAAACAAAAATAGGAAATCAGTATCGTAGTTTTCAAGTTCAGTATTTTCAGAAGTACAAATGGATAGAGTTTAGTGAGAAAGAAAATGCTGCATATTGTTTTCCATGTAGATTCTTTAAATCTAATAACTTAAATAATGGTCAACTTGAACAGTCTTTTTCAACTAAAGGTTTTAAGAACTGGGCTAATGCAACAAAACTCCTTAACAAACATCAGTTATCAAATGCTCACATTACTAGTGCATCTTCGTTATCTCATTATATCTCTGGAAAACCTATTGACGAGGTTTTGGACAATGCTAAAAAAGAAAATTTGAAACAGTGTGAAGCCAATCGTATACAAAATCGTACATATTTGGCACGAATTATTGACTTAACAATTTTACTTGGTAAATGTGGTCAAGCATTTAGAGGCCACAATGAGAAGGAAGGCAGTAACAATAGAGGTTTATTTCTGGAACTAGTTTCTTTGTTGAAAAAGTATGATAGTGTTATGTCCAACCATTTAGAAAAAGGTCCCAGAAATGCTTCATACACCAGTAATAGAACACAAAATGATATAATACAGTCAATACATAATGTAATGCTTCGAAAGATTTCATCTATGCTCAAAAATAAATATGTTTCGATTATTGCTGATGAAACCAGTGACTGTGGTCATCACGAGCAGATGTCTATAGTAGTTCGTTTTTTTGATACAAGTTTGAATAAACCAGTTGAATACTTCATGGGTTTGCAACGTCTTTTAAAAGTTGACTCACAGTCTATTTTTGAAGCTTTAAATAATTTTGTAGAAAATATTGGTATATCTTGGGAAAACGTTATTTCTGTATGTTTTGATGGAGCTGCTAACATGTCTGGTTGTCATAATGGTGTTCAAATGAAGTGTAAAGAAAAAAATGAAAATATATTTTATGTACATTGCTATGCACACTGCCTGAATTTAGTCTTAGTAGACTCAATCGGAAGAAAAAATGTAGTATTATTTGATTTTTTTGGTACAGTACAACTAATTTATTCTTTCT